AAATAGAAGAATTAACACTAAGACAACATAGATTAAGCTTAAAGTTCCCTAAACCTAACTCATCTCAATTCCCCAAAAAAACTACTCACTAAGCACTATTAAAACCATCAATTCAAAGAGAAAGAGATAGCTAATCATGATTACGGAGATTAAGTAAGAAGATAAATGCAAACTTATATTGAAAACAAGAAAAGATTCAAATTACAAAATCAAAAGCTAAAACAAGAGAAGAAAGAACTGCTGGATAAAGAGATGATTCCAGAAATTAGGGATTTTTCGAATTTATATGAGTCTAAGCGAAAATAGCAAAATTGTAAATAATAGGTCTTCAGTCTCGGATCTCATCGGTCATATCTTGACCGATGGTCCTGAGGAGAGTGGCCGATGGTATACTTTCTGGGTTTTCATCGGTCACTTCCTGGCCGATGGTCCTGGGGAGAGTGACTGATGGTATACTCGCTGGGTTTCCATCGGTCACTTCTTGACCGATGGTCTTCAAATCCTTACTGATGGGGGTTGAGCGGTTTCACAAAAACTTCTGTATCTTTCTAACCGCTGATGGGAATGACCTCAAACCAACTCCAGACGCAAGCTAACTCACGGGGATACAAAATTAATGAAGACTATTGAAGCTGAATCGGGTTGGAGATGCTTTTGCCGAGCCAGTTTTTAGGTAAAGTTTATGGCCGCTTCAACAAGGTGCACCTTCTTCAGGTGAAGTTTATGGCCGCTTAAACAAGGTGCACCTTTTTCTTGGCTCTTTTGATGTATTTTGCTGCACCCACCATCATCTACCATGCTCCTTGTAGTCTCCAAACTCTCCAAACATAGCTGCCAAACTCTTCAAATGCACAAAACATGCAATGCACACCCTAAATCTACACTAAGTCCTAATTGAATGCAAATGGGACAAAAACAAGCAAAAATGCATGTTTGCAGACTATAAAACAATGCAAAATATATGCTACTATGGTGTAAATAATGAGTATATCACAAGTCCTCAAAACTCTCAATATGATCCATAGGGTGTTCATGAGGAAGGTCATGAAAAGGGTGCTGAGCCACAAGTGTGTAGTAAGTTGGCGTCAGCTTAAAGTCATTCTTCTGAAATGGAGGTGGACGGATTGCAGCTCTATTGGCGTAAAACTGAGCAGGCCTGTTATAGTTTCCCAGTGTTCTCCCATGCCCAGTGGCGTTTACTGCAGCAGGTGGCTGCGCCTGATTCCTAGCTTGTTGAACCGCCTGTTCAACTATAACATCACCATTCTGATCAAGTCTTTGCCCCTCTTCGTTCCTTCTGTTTCCTTCTCTGTCAACCAAGTGACCTTCTGCATCTGTAATCATGACGATCGGATCAGCCATTGTAGATTGCTTCTTAGCTTTCCTGATGGTCCTTTCCAATCTAGCAAGTTTGTCGATGTGTAAGGTCACAAGCTCCTTCTCTTTATTGCTTTTGGTACTGCGATTATGCATACACCTGAAACAAACTCAAGAAAAGTTGCAAAAACTTAGTAAACAAAATTAAAATTAGTCAAAATCCTAATACTAAAAATTTATAGGCAGCTATTACTCCCCGGCAACGGCGCCAAAAAACTTGATAGGGGTCTAGTTTTACACAATTTATAGTACTACTGCAAGTGCACATCAATGCAGTTATAACACAAACGGTTATCGAATCCCAAGGAAGTAAGCCACTACACTACAGAATTTAGATTCAGATTATGATAAGTGATAATATATGAATGAAAGCGAAATAATGAGATGAATGAAAGCAGGCGATTTTGATACTTGTTCTAAAGTTCAGAGTGCTAAAAACGCTAAGCTAGGATAATTCACAGGTTGAATCCGAGAATGTAGAATGCATGCAATCAGGAAATAATTAAAACCGTCTAGAACTCGAAACACTAATTCATAACTAATCAATTCTCATTGCAAAAGTTATCTATGCCTAAATTCCAAAATTTCAAATCTCTTTGCAAATTCTAACGATTTAAACAAGCAATAATGATCAGGTTCGATTGTTCACAAAATTCCTAATTCAAATCTCTTTGCAGATAGTTATTTTGCTCATCTAAGATTAGTTCAGATGATTAACAATGTTCTCACATCTATTAAACAGTCTATGGTGCGATTTCGGGATGACTAATCCTAGAATCAAAATGATGCAAGTCTAGATGAAGAACCAAGTGATTTTACTAACAGTTTAACAATTCTACAAACTCTTCATCAATCTTTAAATTATTCTAACCAAACTGGCATATGACTCAGATATGGATATGAATGAACAAAACATAGCTGAATAATACTGCATTAAAAAGATAAAAGTAAAGATACAAGAGTTCGAAATCTTCTTTAAAAGAGTACAGGATTTGTCTCCCTCAATGATCAGAAATCAATCTCTCTCAAAAGTTCTCTAGAAAATCAGATACATGCCAAAGAATGTCTGGAAACCCTAATATACAAACTAAAACACGAGTGGAATATTTTTGCAAATAATAGAACTTCTAGGCCAAAACTGCAAATCTTCTCCCATCTTTTAATTAATCGTGCGACTCTTCCTCAGATGTGGGTGACGAGCGTCATCCATTAGGTGGTGACGATCGTCACCAGTGCAAAGTAACACCTCCTTGTTGCTTCATTCGGGAAGAAGTCTTGCTTTGATCCAAAATGCTCCAAAACCTCCAATTGTGTTTCAATCATGCAATAACCTGTAAAGACTCTACTATGACTCTAAAAGACCAAAAAGCCTCAATAAAAAGTACATATATCATGGTTAAAAACCATAAAAACTATGATATATCAATAATAACTGGAGACAACAGTACCTGAGACCGTTCCAAGTGAGTGCAGATGGTAAAGGTAGTGATCGTGGTCACAGCTGGTGAGTCACTCCTAGTTCTCTTTGGTTTAACACTTGTTGGGACAGTGATTGCAGTCACATTAACCACTCCTCTGCTTATCCTTTTGGTCCCGACGGTGATCACCGTCGTTCTCAGTATTACAAGATTCCTAGCCTCTGATTGCTTTGGTATAATCACCGCCTTCTCTTGGCTCTACAAGTAATTAATTAATGTCCCGAAACACACAAAATATGACCTAGGTTTCAAGATGTAGCTTACTAGTATGTGTGATATATATATTGTATAATTACAGAGTTTGAATACTGGAGAATTATTAATATGGTGATCCGAAAGAATGCTTGAATGAAGTTTGGAATCATATTATTAATTGGCAAGCAAGTTGGGCTGTGGTTGAGAGTTATGATGGTTGATTACTTTTTGCCCCTTATATAAAAAGACTTTATTTACCCTTAATAAAATTAACAAATTAATATAATCTAATTTTTAATTGATTTTTGTTTTTTTTAAATACAGATTTCTAAATTCGAATTTATATCATAACAATATTCAGTTTACTAAAAATGGTAACTAGCATAAATCACAAAAAAATCAATCCTAATTATTTTTTTAAACTCATTTTAAATTAATCATTTAACCTATTAATATTTTAGATTCACCTAATTGATTTATGCAGCCACAAGTAAAACTCTAAATCTTATAAAAATGATTTATGCAGCTAAAAAACAATATATATCTCATGAAAATTGCATTTTTCAAATATATTAATTTTGATTTTAAATAATTATAAAATCTTATTTTTTCATTTCTAATATTAGTTTAAAAAAAAAATTAAACCTCGCACTAGGTGCGGAGAAACACCTAGTTTATAAATAGATTTGCAACGTGTTTCACAATATATATAACCTTGCATTTCAATTTTTAATAAAATTTACATTCTTAGCGAAAAAAATGCATCTTAAATCTATTCCTTTTATTCATAATTATCCAAACCATTCAGTTAATTATTCATTAGAAATTAATCATAGATGAAGTAATAAACATAATTCTATTTATTTAGTGGTTCATACAAATGTTACTCAATGACTTTGTTATGGACTATGAATGTTGCTTATGTATATCATCAATTTAATATTTTTATACCATATTATTTAAAAATATTTTTTTTATATGAAACGTTTGTTCATGTCTTTAAATGGAAAATTCATAAAGAAAAAGAATTGATATATATTTTTTGTTGGTAGTTAAAAAAATCTCCATCAAAAATAGGAAAAAAAATATTTTATCTTTTTGAAATAATAAAATGTCCATCAGAAATATGAATAAAATTTTTTTAACTTTTTTAAATAATAAAATATTATAAAAGCAAAAGAGGTACTGAAATATGTCTTCCATTTAAAATACTTTGCGTATTTCAACATTTTTTTAAGTGGTTTAGTTTTTTTATATCATAAGATTAATTAAAATTTTAAATTATATCAAAACTATTAATATAATATATATTCAGATTACTCAAAAAATGTATCTAACAATGGGCATGGACATGCTTTAAATTATAAAATTTCAGTTTTTCGGATAGTACGCGACTGCACGAACGCATGCCCCCTCTACCACAAATAATGACATATGCTCTTCCACTTGGAGAGACCTTAATCTAAACACCCCCTTAATTTGTAATAGAAGTCACTAGCCACTTGTTTTCTTGATCACGAGTTGACCCCGTCCAAGTAAGTAATTTGCTCGGTCTCTCCACTTTTTTTTTTTATACTTTGCTTCACCAACCATTCTTTTTATCTGTACGCAATGTGGAACTATTATTATCACTTCTCACACATTCTAAGTTAGTCGTTATGGACATGGGCCTGTCACTATAGGCCCAGTTAAGTGTTTGAGCTTCTATATGCAAATGAAAATCCAAGAAAAGTGGAAGCAATTTTAGTTAAGAGATTTAATAAAATGAGAGAATTAAAACAAGAGGTGTAATACACTTCATCGATTAAACTACTATAGCTCTTTCTGCCTTTAAACGTTATGCAAATCAAGTTTGCGCATTTTAAAAGAAGTTTTATAGATTTGGAGGCTATAGAGATCATATGATCGACGATTGATATAGATAATTTGTCTAGAGAATCATGATATAGATTAAAGTGTTGGAACGCAGGAAAGTAATTGCTATTGCCTTCTTTAAAAAGTTCTTAAGCCAATTAATCTGCCAGTGACAGCAAATTCTAATCTTCCGTAATCTTATTAACTTTCACAATGTTTTCGTGATTATCTGGATGCAAACAACCAGCATATTCCCTTTGTGCAGGATCTTTGGTGATATAAGAATTTTCAAGGACAAAAACAAATGAAAGATTGATTCGCAAAAGCGCCACAGTTTCCTCTATCTCATTCACGTCACAGTGGCTTTGTTCTCCAAGGGGGTGAAGGAGAAATTGCCAGAGAATATGGACTCTTTATCTGTCCATTACAAAACAAAAACATTATAAAAAATGCATATTCATTTGAGCTGCAAATGCGAGTAAGAGAACATTATAGGCAATGATTTGTGTGTTGCAACTAATAAAGCATTATCAGATAATGGATGTTAGTATATGCACCTGTTAAAGAAAGAGAGCCAACTTCTCTCCGAACATATCTTGCCATTGCCTGAAACACACAAAGCAATGTCTCAAACAGTTTGGTAATCGGTATCTCTGTGTGTGTTTGTGAGAGAGGTAAGAGAGTGCGAAAATCATGCCTTTGCTGCTTTTAAATCCGCTTCATCAGGTGTCGTTGTTCCATCATCAGAAAATATGTTCCTACAATCCAAATTCCATTTCAAGGTTCTGCTGTGTAATCTCTACCGTATTCAATGCATAAAACAGGGCGTTATAGAAGCTTTACCTCCATATCTTGATTTGAAGATCATTTGGTTTAGCTTCTGGAAGTAACGCTGCATCATAGGCAACAACATTTCCATAAAATATCCTCTCCAGTTCCTTCATCCACGTCAACAGAAGCAAGTTAACCTGCAATTTCGAGAAAGATTAAGACCACGAATCTAAGAAGATCCTGGAAACTACAGTATATAGCAAAACAAAGTCTAGCACGTACCCCGGCCTTAGAAACTCTGACTTCCACATCATGATTGTAGATCTCATACACATATTGACCAAGATCAACACCTTCCTTTCCCTCTTCTTTTAAGCGCCGTAACACAAGCCACATATGAAGAACAAGCAACGAAAACGTTATTTTGAATGTTTTCTCCAAGTTGAACACTGCAGCAGAGACAAAGCACAAGAAGTAAACACATACATCCATTTGCAAAAAAAAAAAAAAAAAGAGAAAACATTAACATATGTGTTGGAAACCAAATAAAGGTACCATCATAAATTGCAGGCGTCTCGATTTGTGAAATGATTCGCTTGTAGATAACATTTGCCCCACGGATAGACACGCTCTGTTTGCTATAGAACAAAAGCATCTTTAGTATAAAACGACGAAACCCTTGATAGTTTGGGTCATCAACTCTGAGAGGAGAGTCTTTGGGCAGAGCCAATGAACATGGCTTTGACAAAAACATCTTATCCAAGTTTATCTGTCAAACATAGAACAAATACTTTTCCATCAAAGACAGACGCATGATATCCAGAATCAGTAGAAGAAAGAGTATGACTCTAAATCACAAAAAGAAACTCCAACAGAATAAAGGATGAATCCAAGTCCATCTTCGTTGTAATTGCTTACAAAACTAGAAACATAGTCCAGATTCAGCTCATGATCAGATTGCAAATCGATTAACGTAGAAACAATCGGCATCAAATAGACATTTTTATAAGCAGCCCTCTTTGAGCTTAGCTTCGAATCATATAATGCGACCTAAACATCACTACAATGAGCACTCAATGTTGCCAATCATCATAGATTTCAACGAACTACACAGAAACAACAAGTTCTGAATACGAGATCTCAACTGGGTGAACAAAACATCAACACTTGGACCATACCGGAGATTTTCTGGGGAAATCATTCTGCGGCGGAGCATCATCCGCCGGAGCTACAGTCGCAGTGGCGTACCCATAGCGCGAGAGAAAGGAGGGGTTCTTCATCGATCCATTTGGGGTGAATGATCGAAGCTTTGAGGTTTGAGTAAGGATTCGACCTAATTTGGGCAACATTTGATCAAGGCCCTTGAATGAGACCGACCGAAATCAAGGAAGGAATCCGAGGGAGAAATTGATTTCGTCCGATCGAAGAGATCTAAACCCCTAAATCGAAAAACCCTTTCCGACTCTTGTTGATTGATGAAGGGGCCCAAGACTACTAGTCGTCCACGTTAGCGCATTTCCGGCCAGATATTACAACGCTAACTTACGCCAATCTTAAAAGCTAACCTTCAGTGTTATGAAAAGCAAAAATACATTACAAAATCTTAGACTACTGCTGTGACTAGTCTTCTACTAGGTCATTCTGAATGGTTTGTTTAATTCAGAAAAGTCAAAACCCTATTTGAAATTGGAATTATATTTTGAAGTAGTTCAGTGAATTCATTTCTCCGAATCAAAAATTTATTTAGCTAAACCTTAAAAATAACTTGAAAAATTTATTATATAAAATTAAATGTAATCATTAAAATAATCAGTACCGGCCCTGAGCCCAAACAGGCCAAGCATCAGCTTGTGGCCCTATTTTTATATATAAAATTCCGGCTCTTTAGTTTGCAAAGTTTGTAACTTAGAATAACAAACTGAATCTTCGCAAAAATCATGTCACGTTTTATGATCGCAAAGTCGTGTAGAAAAATGAAGAGATCGTCGAGGAAACCATCATTATGTTGATCCAAAACATGTTTTTCTAATAACTTCGCTCATTGTCGATGGTGACAATATGCTACACAAAATCAAATATATGGTGATCACCACGCGTGGATAAAATTATAATTTTATAAATTAATAGTATTAGACTTAATGCTATGCATAGTTTTGGTGTTCGGGTTTTTGGGTTGGGTCTTTCAGGTTTCAGATAGTTCGAATAGGGGTGGTTAGGATTTGGTAGAAAATCGGGTTGGGTCAATTCGGTCTTTGTCAGATCGGATCAGGTCTTCGAATATTTTAAGGAACCGAGAAGGATTTGAATTGTTTTGATGTAAACTCAAATTTAGCTATTTGGATCCGAATAATTCAATTTGAAATCGAGAGATCCGAATCAGATCCAAAAATTTAAGCCAAAATTCAAATTAGAGAAATAGTAATGAAAAAAAATGAGAAGAAGGAGAAGAAACATCAAAAGAAAAAAGATCGAAAATTTAGAGGAAGAGGAAGAAAAAATAAAAGTAAACACTGAAAGAGGAGAAGGAGAAGAAAGATCGGAGAAGTAAGAGAAGAAAAATATAATCAGAGATAGCGAAACACTATATAAGAAGAATAAAAGGATGAGAAAAAGCAAAATTGAAGAAGGATGTGGTGTTTTAAAAAATTAGGGTTTTTTGTTTTATTTTTAGTTTTTAAAAAATATAAAATTTGAAAAATTAAATATTTTGTAGTTAGAATGGGATTATTTGGGTAACGGATCAGGTTTATGGAACTAAGAGCATAATCGTGTTTCGAACCAGCCAAACCGTGTTAGAACGGTTCTCTCCGACCCTAGCACACATCCTGGAAGAGTAAGAGTCCAGTCAAAGTGAAGACAGAGTTTCTGAAGAAACAGTTGAAAAGACTCACCTCGATCTTGTCACACATCCCAGAAGAATAGAGATCTAGTCGAAGCGAAGCTGGGTTTCTGGAGAAACAAGTAAAAAGGCTTACCCCGACCCTGTCACGCAACCCGGGAGAGTATGGGTTTAGTCGGAACGAAGCTGAGCTTTCAGAGAAACGAGTGAATTTCTGAAGAAATGATTAGATTCCTTGGAGAACAATTAGATTGGGTCCTACATCGGCTCATGCATGCATCCCGGAAGAGTACATGCGTGTCCATAATAAGAGGAAATTAAGTTCTTGGAAGAACTGTTGGTCGCCTATAGATTAGTATCTCCCCGGAGGAACTTTACTCATTGCTTCGTAAGGCACTAGACAAGGAGCCGTCTTCCTTTCCCATTGAGACTATGAAGAAGTTATAACCCAATGTGACCATGAGGATCGACATAACGCAATGACACAATTTATGACAATTGTCTATGAACCACGAATGGCACCTTGAGTAGGTGAATTAGAAGGTCCTTGTGTGCAGGTTGGTAACATGAGGAGGAGTCGTTGCTTTTTTTCAGCTTGTGCCAGCCAACTTTTGGTGAAAAGGGTGTTTCCCGGAAGCGTTATCCCGACTTTCTTACTGCATGGGTAGTCTTCACGTTATGCTTACGCGGAAGTTTCCTGGTTTTAGAATCGTGCTTGTGACATACCCTGGAGGGAGAGGCTGGGGAAGTTTTGAGAAGAGAAAGCCTCTTGGAAGAAGGATCACAATAAGGAATTGCGCGGTCCCTGGAAAGATCTGACAAAAGGACCCGGAAGTATGCGGGACTGGAGTCCAGAATTTCCGGAGGAATGATGCCCCAGAAGGCAAGCAAGTGCACATTGGAGCATGCTGGAAAGAAAAGCAAACTGAAGGTTTTGATAAAAAGCTCGAATTGTAAACGTGATGCCCCAGAGGGTAAAGTAATTGAAATTAAAGATCGATCGACGAAGGAGAATGTACAATAAGTAAACAGAGGTAGCAAGATAAAGAGCCGCATGGGCTCAGAGGATCAGTCATAGAACAAATACGGAGACAGAGACTCAGGCAAGCAAGGAATCAAAAAATCACACAGTCAAGAAATCAAGTAAACACGCATACAAGGAATCAAGTAGATAGAGAATCAAGTAAACACGCATGCAAAAAGCAACTCAAACAGGAAGTTATTCAGGCAGAAAATTATGCAATCACATAAATAGATAATGGGAGGATGCATACTTCTAAGCGAACAAAATATAGTGAGCGGGTCTGTACGAATTTCCCCTGGAGGATAAGGACCGCCGCATAGAGATACATATCTCATGTAGGGTCTAAGAACTCATATTATTGCTTTATGACTTGCCGTTGATGGGGACGGTGATTTGTGGATGCACATGGAGGCTTTGAACGTCTTCGCGCTAATTCTCTGGGTCGGAAATCGTGGTTCTCTCGGGCAGGAGATGTCCTTTTATCGGTGAGTGCGGTCAACGTGGTGGTCTTTCATTTTCTTGCTGCATCCTTGCTTCTCGTGAACTGGCGCTTGTATCACCATCGTGAGGTTCCATGTGACTACCTCGTCATAACGACCCGTCTCTTCGAGTGTGCGGCTCGAGGGACAAATATTTACCAAAATGACCCCGACTTTGTCCCCGTTATTTCTGAATTGTCGCGACTATTTTTGCGTATTGCTTTAGTTTCTCACTCTTTTATAAAATGGAAGGGAATAGTTGGCGTCCCATACTTTACCTTCTCCTTTTAATCTATTCTTTATCTTTATTTTTTGTATCTATTTCGCTTTTCTCTCAAATTTTTCTTTTTCTGATTCGGAGTGATGTTGTCTTCATCAACGAGATCATCCATCGATACTTGGCGTGTCCCCTTCTCGTGGTCTGGAGGCAGCATCGAGAATGTTGCTCATACCTCCTAACCGGTCGAGAGGCTGGACCGGCCTTCTCTTGTATGTACACCGGAGACCCTGGAGAGGGTTACCTCGCGGCCGATCCTCCCTGCTTGCCTCTTCATTCCATATTTCCCATTGAGGGGGATCGGGCAGATCGCGTTCATTTCCACTGCCGTGCCATCTATGACGAGTACTGTCTCGCTATCCACGATGAGTATATCCACTACGGCTTCAGGAGATACCTCCCCTTCATACTTGTTGACTTCTGCCGCTACTCCAGCATCTGTCCTAGCCAACTGCACCCATCGATGTGGAGGCTATGTAACGCGTACCAGGTCCGACCTCTCTAGGATTCGCATGTGCGGATCTGTGGTGTTGTTATCGTACCAGACAATAGCGAGTCTAGAAATATTTTTTAATGGGGTCAAAATTTAAATTAAATATAATCTAATCAGTGAACATGGACTGAAAATTAGATATATGGTGTCATTAAAAAGTTTTGAATGCAGGTTGAGGGTTCAATGATAAGAGATTCTACCAGCTAAGCTACTTTGAAGTTACAAATTTAGCTTAAAAATTTTAATTTTAATATTTATAGGGTGTCAGGTGAACCCATATCATTACAAATTGATTCGCTACTAGTATCAGCTCCACCATATTTCTCATGACTTCTGTCGTTATACGCTGCATGATCGGGATGACTGCTCTATCCTGATATCGAGGGATTGGACCAGGAATCGGAATTGGCGTGAGTGGTACTTTTTCTGCCTGGTCTTTTAAGGCGTCGATGTCTCTTTATTCTGGTGGATCCAAGTAAAATTTTCTAGCCGATCGATTTTTTTTTTGCTATGTCTGGTTATCGTTCATCACCTTCAGCCTTCTTCTCTTGTGTCTAGGGACTCGTGGATTGGTGACGAGCTGACTTTGGATCGCTTGTCCTTGTTGAACGAGAGGTAGGAACTTTGACTTCCTGCTAACCCTGGTTTTCATTCGCGAGAGCTCCCTCGGCTCCCACCTCGTGTCCTGTTAAGCACTCGAGGTATATTGGCTTTTTCCATCAGCTCCTCGCCCTCAGTCTTTTCATCATGGACTAACTAACCCTTGTGTGTCAGGTTTGGTGTCTCGGCTAGAGTCCCTATGTAGGATTTACGCCCCAGGCGGAGTGTAGGGGGATCGTCCGTTCAACGCCCTTTTCGGAAGCACCATCTTTCATCTTACACTAGTCCGTCTTTGCGGGGCGGGCCTTCCACCATCCAGGTGGGGATGCTGTTCGACGCGTCTTCCTCTTTTGAGTCTGGTTCTCCTGCGGTAAGGAAGGTGAAGTTTGGTTCCGCAAGCCCTGTCCTCTGGATAGCCTCTCCAGGCCCCTCCAGCTTACCACATTTAGGGTGGCGGCAAACAGTCTTGGAGCTTGAAGGATCTCTAGAAAGAGTAAGTTGGCCATCTTTTTTTATTCTGTTTTTCTTGAGAAAGTGGTGTCTTGAACTTCTCTATCCCCTACAGGGTCTTCTGGTGCTCACACTGTTAGAGCACAAGCTATCGAAGGCTGAATGCCGTGAGCGCGATGTGTTAGACCGGGCCAGTGAGCTTCAAGAAGAACTAATAAAATCGCATTTCTGGTTTGCCAAGGCACAGTCTTCCGCCCATGGGGGAGAGTTGGGGGAAGAAGTGAGTCGCCTCATGACAGAGGACAACAGTCCCCGTAATTTGAGCGATCAAAACTTTGAGATCTGGCTCCTTCGCAATACCATCACAGTCTTTCACAGTTTCTTCTCAAACCAGGTATTTATCGGGTCTTAACTTGAACCTTGATCAGGATCAAGGTGAAAATGACCCGTCTATG